AAATTATTCTGGAGATTTCGTGCGTAGTCTTCTGTGAAGATTGAATGCCAGCCCCATCCAATAAAAATGGGGTAAGTCTAGAGCACTTTAACTCTACTATTTGTTAATTTGAGAAATTAGAACATTTTTCTCCACATCCCTCCACCTATAATATCTACAATCCAATTCTACCCATGAATGTGGCCTCTCTCAATGCTCCACTCCCTGCTATTTTCCAGTGTAATGTTGTTTGTTTGTCCTGTCCTATCTAGGATTGTCTTGCTTCTCTAAATCTGTAAGCCTACTGGATGAACTCTAAATCCCCCTCACATTTAATTTTTGCTGATCATGCTTTTTTCAGATCTCCTCTTACATAGTTAACCTGCAAAACTACTCTGTGGCATATTTACCTTTTAAATTTCAACTCTTCTTTTATGCTAATTTTTAGAAGTTTTTCCGTTCTATTTATGTAAGAGTTATGAGTCCAGTCTGTGAAGTTTTGGTCCTCAAGTTTACATTACTTCCTCTACAATTCTTTATATACAGAATGCTTTATACAGAATACAATATAAAGCTAATAAATTGTACTAAATGATATAAAGGCTACAAATCTTATTTAAAGCATAATTAAATATTTACAAAATGGAATGCAATGGGTTACTTCTAGGGATGGGCAACCAGGAATACATGAGTAGCTTTCCTTTATCTCAGTGGATGGCAGCAGACCATGGCCCACTAGGGTTCCACCTGTGGCCCAATGGCACCTCACCTACCCCCTTTTCCCCACACGCTTCTCGCACACCAAGGCACCAGAGCCCAGCACTTATCTGCTCCTTCCCCTCCTTCCCAACACTTTCAGAGCCTGCACATTGCCTGATTTCCACTCTGACCCCACTCCTCCCATTCCCTCCCAGAGCTGGAACACCACGAACAGCTGATTTGCAGCATTCCAGCCCTGGGAGGGAAGGGGAGGAGCAAGATAGAGTCTCTCCTCTGAAAGTGCTGGGAATGAGGAAGGAGGAGAGGAAGTTTGGGGATCCAGTGCCACGTGAGCAGAAGGGGTGTGGAAAAGGGGAGCAGCCAAGGGGTCCACGAGCTGCAGCTGGAGCCCCAGTGAGCTGCATGCAGCTAGCAGGCTGCCCACTACTGGTTACTTCTTTTTGAAAAATGAAGCAGTGTTCAGCACTGGATCTAGGGGCAAGTCTGGAAAGTGAAGAAAGAGAGACTTTGGACTTCTCTCACTAGGACTAATCAGGATACAATTCTCCAAAGGCTGCTCTAACTTATGTCACTTCAATGGCCCCAGAGACTATCCAACAATCAAGGATCATCAGTGTCCAGCACTTTTGCAACACACCTTTCAAAATACCTCATGTGACAAGAAAGCACAAATGACAACTAAACTCCACTCAGGGATTCCCCTACACAAGACAAATCCCCAGCTGGTTATTGAGGTCACTTTTGTACAGGTTGGATCTTGTTGATCGTGCACCCTCGGGACCTGACTAAGGATGTAAAATCCTGTTTAATTGGTTAACTAGTTAAACATTTACGTTTAGTCAGTTAACCAATTAAAAGGAAGTGAGCGGGGAAGCAGTGTCAGAGCTGGAGCGCTCCCCTCCCACCACTGCAGACAAGTGCTACTCTTGTGGGCGCTGCAGGGCTGGAGCAGCTCCTTTCCCCCAGTGGGTAGGGAGCAACTCCAGCCCTAATTGCTTAACTGTTCACAACCCTAGACCTGACTGGTCCAGAATGAGGAGATTTGCCAGACCAGGGGAGATGCCTCCCCTCCTGGCCCATGCTGCGTCTGGATTAGGGCGACAGCTGCCTCGGCCCCCCAGGGCTCTCTAAATGACACCAACACCACTGCTGCTGGGACTGGAGTACCACAGCTGGAGCTCTGTAACTGGGGCCAGAGCTCCCCGGCCATTGGAGCCAAAGGTCCACAGCTGGGACCAGATCTCCACAACCAGGACCAGATCTCCACAACCGCTGCTGGGGCCAGAACTCACGTTGTGCTGCCTATTCTCCCCCACTCCCACACCGCCCGACTCTGGGCTCCTGGCTGAGTTGCCGGTGTCCCCTAGGGCACTCCTGTTCCACCGTCAGAACTCCCTGTTCCTGAGCTCTGTAGTTGAGGAACGTTGCTGGACCAGGAAGTCCAGTTAAGGGAGGTACAACCTGAACAAAGCAACACCAGAGATGGAACAGCACAGAATATTTGTCTTTATGTCATAAACTAATCAAATTTTTCACTACATCAAAAATAAGAATTAATTCAGGCCAAGGTTTGCATTGGAACTATGTATCTGAAGAACAAGGAAAAAGTGGAAAGTTGATAGGATTTGCCAGGATGAGGGGCATCATTTTCCTTGAAGTATGCAAAAACATAAGCAAAACTGTTAGATTAAAAAAAATGCAGTACCTCACTGACATTCTGATCAAGACAAAGCCTCAGAATTGGATCTTCAAGTAATAATTTTAGAAAGTTGACAGTTGCAAACTGAAAGCAGGCATATGGGCCTTCTACACTGGGTTCAGTACAGGATTAGGGCACAATACCCTATTTCTGTTCATACCTTTATAAACTGGGGGTAAATTAACAAATGTGTTTATTATCAGAAGTTATTAAAGTAATTTTTATTCAAACATATCTGTGCACTGTTGGTGAGCTACAGTTCATAACCATTAGATTATTGCTATCCATAACTGGATTTTTATGATGTATGATCAGTAATCTGAATTACATGAGATTGGTTCCTATGTCTGGATGGTTCCCAAATTGACAATATTCAATATGGCCACTTGAATACTTTTGAAGTAATTAAATATTTTAACAAATACTCATAGTATTACCCTACTGTGAGCAGTCTCCATATCACATGGACAAATGCAAAAGCAGTTACTACTGAAAGATGCTATAACTTAAGCATAAGTCTCAGAAAGTAACTGTGTTATTTTCTATGTGCAAAAACAACAGAGGAGTCCTGTGGCATCTTACAGACCTACTAGTCTTTAAGGTGCCACAGGACTCCTTGTTGCAAATATAGTTAAAAAAAATCAAACTCCTGGTTTTATTCCAATCAATGGTGATAAGATTTTGTTTTCTCATCTCTACTTGCTAATGACTACTTTAAAGCTCCCACCTCAATGTAGAGACACAGGAAAAGGATAAAAAATAACTAATAGTCTTGCCGCACCTTAGAGACTAACAAAAATGTGGATGAAATCATGAGTTTTCGTGGGCACAGCCCACGTCTTCAGACGAACGGAGTTAAGGGGAAAGGAAAAGGAAGGAATCCCAGTTAAGCGAATGAATCAGTTCATGACAATGAATGCTGCCATCCTCTGATTAGCTCATAACTGGACTGACACGGCTGAGGTCACAGCCCCGGGTAGACTATTCCCAGACTTTTGAAACCAAAACACTGATTTGAATAGGAGAGTCGCCCCCTCCCCCTTCCCCTCCCCCAGCTGCGGGGAGCCATCCTCTGATTAGCTCATAACTGGACTGACACGGCTGAGGTCACAGCCCCGGGTAGACTATTCCCAGACTTTTGAAACCAAAACACTGATTTGAATAGGAGAGTCGCCCCCTCCCCCTTCCCCTCCCCCAGCTGCGGGGACGGGGCTTGGAGACCCGGTTTGAAACCCACCACAGACGGCAAGAGGCTGATATCCCCCCC